CTGACAGCGAAAGAAATATCTGGCCTAGTCACAGTAAGATAATTGAGCTTCCCAATTAGCCTCCGATAACGTCCAGGATCAGATAACGGCTCCCCCTGTCCGGGTAATAACTTGACATTAGGATCCATAGGTGTATCAACTGGTTTACTCCCCAACATACCAGTTTCTTCTAGGATATCCAAGGCATATTTCCTTTGACAGATAGAAATGCCCTGTCTTGATTGTGCCACCTCAATTCCCAAGAAGTAACGCAGCTTCCCAAGGTCCTTTGTTTTGAAATGTACTAAACAAATGTTGTTTTAACTGACGAATTCCGTCTTGATCACTTCCGGTGAGAATGATGTCGTCAACATAGACTAACAAATAGATACACTTATCAGGAGATGTAATCCTATAAAACACAGAATGGTCAACTTTACTGCGGATTAAGCCAAACGCCTGAACAGCAGACCTGAAACGACTGAACCATGCTCGAGGAGACTGCTTGAGACCATATAAGGATTTCCGAAGACGACACACCTTTCCAGACTCCCCCTGAGCAACAAAACCAGGTGGTTGCTCCATGTAAACTTCTTCTTGTAAATCACCATGAAGAAAGGCATTTTTGATGTCAAGTTGAAGGAGTGGCCAGTGACGAACAGCAGCAAGGGCAAGAAAGAGGCGGACTGACGCCATCTTAGCGACCGGAGAAAATGTATCGCTATAATCAAGGCCAAAGATTTGAGTAAAACCCTTGGCAACTAAACGTGCCTTGAGACAATCAATATGGCCATCAGGTCCAACTTTCACAGTAAAAACCCAGCGACAACCAACTATAGACTTCTCTGGAGGAGCAGAAACAAGGTCCCAAGTGCCATTGGAATGAAGTGCAGTCATCTCATCAAGCATTGCTTGGCGCCACCCTGGATGGGAAAGTGCTTCACATGTGGTCTTAGGAATAGAAATAGAAGAAAGACTAGAAACAAAGGTGAAATGAGGTGAAGAAAGACGGTCATAACTCAAAAAGGTATAAAGAGGATAAGGGTTACGAGTAGTACGTGTACCTTTTCTTTGAGCAATGGGAAGAGTCTCTGATGAAGGATCCGGAGGGGAAGAAGCAACAACAGTGGGCGATGAGTCAGCAAGAGTCGAGTCGACAGGAGGCACAATTTTGCGACGCTGATAGGTGAGAAGTGGACGGTCCTCAGGTATAGAAGCAATAGGTTGCTCATCTGGAATAGAAGCACCTGCAGCTGGCAAAGACAAGTCAAGAAAAGGGACAGGAAGTACATGATCAACCTGTGACATCTGAGATGGGATAGAATTAAAGGGTTGTTGATCAAGAAAAGTGACATCAGCGGAAACTATGTAACGCTTAAGGTCGGGAGAATAACAACGATAACCCTTTTGAAGACGAGAATAACCAAGAAAGATACACTGAAAGGCTTTGGATGTTAACTTATCCTTACCAGGAGTGAGATCATGAACAAAACAAGTACAACCAAAGACATGTGGAGTTAGAGGATAAAGAGGAACATCTGGAAGCAATAGATTATGAGGAATGTCATTGTGGAGCACAGATGAAGGCATGCGATTGATGAGAAAACAAGAGATGAGTACAGCATCTGCCCAGAAGTGAAGAGGAACCTGCATATGAATAAGAAGGGTACGGGCAGTTTCAATGAGATGTCTGTTTTTACGTTCAGCCACCCCATTTTGTGGAGTGTGAGGACAAGTAGTTTGATGTAAAGTACCTTGTGTGGCCAAGAAATTAGAAAAATCAATAGAAACATATTCCTTAGCATTATCACTACGTAGAATACGAATAGAAACACCAAATTGAGTATGGATCTCAGTAGAAAACTTTTTATAAATGGAAAATAACTCAGAACGATTTTTCATTAAATAGGTCCAAGTGCAACGAGAAAAATCATCAATAAAGGTAACGAAATACCGAAAACCTAAGACAGACAAGGTACGACTTGGACCCCAGATATCTGATTGAACAAGAGAGAAAGGGGCATCAGCTCGTTTATTGACTCGACTGGCAAAAGAGGAGTGTGTATGCTTCCCTTGTTGACATGACACACAATCTAAAGACTGAAGACCGGACAAAAGAGGAACCATTTTCTGCAACTTTGAAAGACTTGGATGACCAAGGCGACTGTGGATAAGTTGTGGAGATTCTGTGAGAGAGCATGCTACTGAAGGACGAGGCACATCCAGATAATAAAGCCCCTGTGACTCACGACCCACTCCAATCATTTTCCCCGTACCCGGATCCTGCACAGAAACAGAATGGTTAGAGAAAGTAATGGTGCAAGTGAGGGAGTGGATCAACTTACTAATAGAAATTAAGTTATAAGGGATGCCAGGAATGTAATAGACAGATGTCAGGGCCAAGGTAGAGGTCGGACGAGCTTGTCCAATCCCACAAACTGGGGCTTTGGTTCCATCCGCAAGGGTAAAAGACGGTAAATGATCAGAATAAGTAAGAGATGTAAAGAGTTCCTTATTACCACAAAGATGATCGGTAGCACCAGAGTCAAATATCCAAGTGCCAAGTGATGTAGAATGAGAAACACAAGCAACGGGATTACCAGTATAAGGCTGAGACTGAGGAGAAGCCTTCTTGAGAGGGGTTTGGAGTGCAGCACAGTCCGAACCTGAACCAAATGATGCTTTGTCTGACTGAGCTATATTTGCAACAATAGAAGGAGAGTTAACCTCCGAGAGATCAGGAGATGCTGCTGCCATTTAAAGATAAAATATAAAAGCCGTAAACGAAGGCAAACGATATCCAATCAAGAAGAACCACGCGTCTAAGGTCAGACCCACAGAGAGACAATCACAGATCCAGAAAGGGGAGGAGAAGGCGAGCTTCTCTGTCCAAGACCGGCCGGAAAAAGCCGCCGGAATAGTGCTCACGCGCCGGCAGAAGGTGGCGTGTGAAGCCCACGCGCAGTGAAGACAGGTGGCGCGTGACAGCGCGTGGGAGATGCGTTGCTGGCCGGACCACCACAGACCTGGTCGCCGGGAAGAAAGGGTCCTGATCGCGTGAAGTTTGGTCGGAAAAGTCGCCGGAAAAAGTCTCTGGTTTCCTGAACAGTGATTCTGACGGCGGGCGGTGGTTCCGGTGGCCGTCGGAGGTGCTGACGCATTTGGAAAAATCACTCAGAGGCTGTTTATAGCCCTAGAAGGCTTGCCGGAAGGACGCACGGCAAGAAAGAGGACTCCTAAGCAGTGGGCTTAGGTTTTTAAAGCAAAAAACAAGGTTTCTGAGCGGAAGCGAGGGTTCCTAGAACGAAAGAGCTCTGATACCAAGTTAAATGTAAAAGAATACGTTATGTATTGATCTGTGTCAAGGAGTTACAATATATAGAGACCCTAATGGGCTTAAGTGTAAGGCCCAAACCTAATCCAAACCTAATCCTAATACAGTCAGAATACAGTCAGAATATTTACGGATAAGACAGAATCCAATCATATCTAATCAAATCTAATCATATCATATCTAATATTCTAACAAAATGCACAGGGACTAAGTTGAAGTTTAGCACTGCCTATCACCCTCAGTCCAATGGACAAACCGAGGTGGTCAATCGCTGTTTGGAAACATACTTGCGGTGCTTTTGTGGTCCTAAACCCAAGACGTGGCCTTCTTGGTTACATTGGGCAGAATTTTGGTATAATACATCTTATAAAGATGCTACGGGAACTACACCATTTAAGGTGCTTTATGGCTGTGACCCTCCTATCTTGCTGCGTTCTTACTTCGCAATTTCTCCTGTGGATGAAGTTTCCAGATTGTTACAAGATAGGGATACAATACTTAATGATTTGCAGCATCATTTAATCATGGCCCAACAAAGAATGAAGTGTCAAGCGGATCAACATAGAAGAGACATTGAATTTGCAGTAGATGATATGGTCTATTTAAGGTTACAACCTTATAGACTCAAATCTCTAGCTCGAAAGATCAATGAGAAGTTAAGCCCACGTTTTTATGGTCCTTTTCGAGTGCTAGAACGTGTGGGGGCAGCAGCTTACCGATTGGAACTGCCTGCTGGGAGTAGGGTTCACCCTAAAGCGAATGCCCCTTCTGACTTGGTACAACCTTTACCTCCAATGTTAACTGAGACTTGGGAATTGAAGGTTGAGCCAGAAGCTGTGCTGGATTGGAGGAAAACGTCCCTGGGCCGCACGGAAGTTTTAATTAAATGGAGAAACCTACCCTCTTGTGAGAACTCTTGGGAGGAATCTGCAAGTTTTAATCAGAAATTTCCAGAATTTCACCTTGAGGACAAGGTGAAAGTCATGGGGGGCAGTATTGATACAAAAGGCTTGCGTACTTATGGTAGGAAACGCATTAGAGGAATAAAAACCAAATAAAGCTGACGTGGTTCAGAATATTCTAGAACTTGTTGGAGAATCATTCGGTTAGGGGTTGTTAGTAGGCAAGTAAGGAAAATAGTGACGTGTTAGTTTGTTGAGAGAAGTATTAGAGCAAGGCTAGGAGAGAAGGGAAGGTATTGGAAAAGTTAGACTTGGAATGGGAGAGCCTGCACCTCTCGAAGTGCTGAGTGAATTCCTTTTTTTTCCGTTTAGTTGTCATTTCTGTTAATGCATAGAAGAGAGTAATTAGAAGTTCCTTCATTGTAATGCCATTTTTAGTTCTTCAATATATAGAAAAAACCTGGAAAGATTCCTTTGTGGACCAAAAGATCGTTGAGTTTCTGTTTCTTAAATTGATAAACTGAGTTAGATCTTATCATATCCATACGACCATAGGCAGATACCTTCAGACTCTAATACTGTACTGACAAAGTTGTAAGAGGTCAGCATTCATGTTTTCCTCAGAAAGTCAAAATCACAGGCATCAACATGGTCTAGTTCCATACTTCTGTACATGATTGAATGTTAGGCCAAAATAATATTTTCATTACATCGCCAACAATTACATTTATCAGACACAGTACAATTAGACACAACCAACAAATCACAGGGGTTAAACTTTTAAGCTAAGCTTTTATTGATGTTTCAATTGAAACCTTATACTTGACAAATTCATGCTTCTCATCGGCTTTCCAGAGCTCCGGAAATGCATCCGTGATATTATGGATACTCTCTAATGCATGATCCACTTCTTTAGTACGAACGGAAGTACCCACCTGCATCCATAGGGGATTTGGATATATTCAAGTTCATATTGTATTGTATCAAACTATTTTGTTTTAATTCTGAAGTAATTCAAAAAGTGACAAATGGTGTATGTGAAACTAGTTTTTCCAATTTCAAATGATATCTTTTTGAAAGCTGATTCAATGTCCTAGTATAAGAATAAGAACGTGTGAATTTGATTAACAAATGAATACTTCTTCAAGTTCCATTCAACAACTACATCCAAAAGATGAAAACTCTAATGTAGAATTATTCTAACTCTCTAATACTAAAAGGATTTGAATCCAAGTGCAACGTAAGAAATCTTACATATTTCGTTCATTCATCAGTAACAATTAGGGACTACTTACCGCGACTGTGTGGAGGCCCAAGCGTTTGGCTGTCGACAAATTGCGGATACTGTCATCAAAGAACACCTGAAAAAGAGCACAAAAATAATAAAAACAGAAGTAAATAAATAATGTCATTTGTCACAAAAATGTGTCTACAAAAAAGTAAGGGGAGAGGGAGTGGATCTTCTCATGTGCTAATTAACATGACCATATCATGTGCGGCAATCATAATCATACATGGGTGAGTTAATGGTGATAAGATAAGAGAGAAAACAAATATAAGGATAGGAAGTTACATAATCATCACCATTGATTTAATTATTAATAGTTAAGATCCTCCCACATGATATGATCATATTAAATTACACTCTCATGTGCTAATTAAAATAAAATAGTTTGATACAATACAATATGAACTTAAATTATATCCAAATCCCCTATGGAATGCAGGTGGGTACTTCCGTTCGTACTACAGGAGTGGATCATGCATTAGAGAGTATCCATGATATCAGGGAGGCATTTCCGAAGCTCTGGGAAGCCGATGAGAAGCATGAATTTGTCAAGTATAAGGTTTCAATTGAAACATCAATAAAATCTTAGCTTAAAAGTTTAACCCCTGTGAATTGTTGGTTGTAATTGTTGGCGATGTAATGGAAATATTATTTTGGCCTAACATTCAATCATGTACAGAAGTATGGAACTAGACCATTGATGACTGTAATATAAGGATAGGAAGTTACACAATCATCACCGTTGATTTAATTATTAATGGTTAAGATTCTCTCATATGATTATGTTAAATTACACATGAGAGGATCCATTTCCAAAGAGAAATGGATACCTTTTAGTGATTAGTGGCTAATATTTACCAATGTGCTCAACTTATGTGGAATATAAAATATTAACGAGGGAAGGAATATTACACAATTTAAAAGTAGGGAGAAGATATAGTTAGTGTCTCTTTTTCTTATTACATGTTACTACTAAATCGTAACCGTTGATTTTTGTCAATTTAACGATTATAATTTATTGAAAATTAATAATTAATTAATAAGTATGACCCAATAAATTATAACTGTTAGATTGACATAAATGAACGGTTACGTTTTAGTAATAACAAGTAGTTAAAAAAAAGAGTAGTAACTATAACCTTCCTCTTAAAATGAACTACATTCGAACTTCAGAGAAAAGAATACGTCAAAACTATTAACGAGGGAAGGATCCGCATTCTTACTGTTCTTTGAGGGTCAATGTCTGCTAACTTGAAAACCGTTTCAAATGCATCTTCAAAGGGTTTGCAGACAACTGGAGTCCTTGGAAGCACCATATCAGAATTAGGCCTGCGCATGTACTCACAAAAATCAAAAATTCTTGCGGTGATTGGTCTGGATTCACTGCCATCTTTATCATCAGGAGGGTTGGTGTTTTTGGAGGAATTCAGAGTCTCAAAGCTTATAATCCTTTCAAAGCAGTCCTCCAATCCAAGACTATGAAGCGCTCTAACTGCATGGCATGCGTCTGCATTCGTAAAAATCTGAAAAGGGAAACAGAAAAATATCATACATACATCATGCTGAAGAGAGACTTTTCTCTTAATCAGATACTACCATTAAAAAATTACAGAGAAACTTACAACTTTCCTAACAGGAAGGCTTTGCAAAATGCCCCTGAGAACAAGGTCCGGTTTCAGCATATTATACGGCAATCTCCCGTGAACGTAACTGATCAACACAATAGTTTTAGATGCCCATTTCATGTGGTTTCAACTTGATTACAATAAATGGCAAAATAGAAAGAGGGAAAAACATCTATCTGGATATAACTATATGTCATTTTAGATTTTAACAGTTGATTTTTGTCCATCAACAATTATAATTTATTGAGTCAAAATTATTAATTAATTAATAATAAATTTAACCCATTAAGTTTGACCCAATAAATACAGTTAGGATCTAAAATGATATATAGTTATATCCCATAGAAAAATGGACCAACAAATATGTAAAGAAAAATTACCTATGAAAGTCATCGTAGTCAAAGTCATAGCCAATTGCCTGGCAAGACAACAAGAGACAAAATGACTGGTCCGTTAATCATCATCTTTGCATTAAAAAAATTGTTTTCAATAAAATTCATTGAAAGGTTAATTATATCGTACCCTTAGGCCAGCCAATGTTGTCCCGTAAGTTTGATATAATGAAAGGCACAATTCAGGAACTTTAGCAGCCTCTATCTCAAGCTTTTGAAGCATATACTCTGTGCAACACACACCCGATTAAAAATAAAAACACAAAAAGCATAACTTCAACTTCTTTCAATTCCAGATAATTTTACACACATCCAAGCCCTCACATATATAATAGAATATGCCCTATTGTGGTAAATTCATTACCTTGAATATTTTTTGCTACAAGCGCTGACAATCCAGAACTCAGAGGATAAAGGGTGTCATCAAGATCTGAAATTATTTAAAAGAAGTTGTACATAACCAAGGCAGTACAATGAAGCATGTAAGAGACAAAAATTCAGCATTCATGTGAAGGCTTACCAAACAAAAGACAATCATATTTCGCCTTTGAAACTTCCTGGAATTCATGTCCGTCTTCCATTTTGACTTGACTTTAGTAGGCCTGATTACAAGTATAAAGGTCAGATTCACAATTAGTGAGAAGAAACTATAACCGCCAAGACAGACACATGAAAAGAAACCACAAGTCTGAAAAATGCATTTTGGAATCCCAGAATAAAAAATATATATCAAAATTTAGCATTCAAGTCAATGCCTGAGAATTTGAAAATGCACAAACCACAAGTTCAGATTTAAAAAATAATAATAATAATTTTGAGTACAAATATGCATATCCAAACCAAAATTAATATGGTAGAGCAACGTTCCAACATCATTGTATAAACAATCAAATAGGGGAAGAAAACTAAATACATTGCAAACAAAATAAAAATTAAAAAGAAAGAAAGCAAGCCCAGATAAGCATCACATCAAAAGATGACACTGTTAAACATAAGCAGGTTCACAAACTAAGAGGCTGAACAACATTACAGAGGGGATTGACAGACCCAAATTCTTAAAATCACTAACCGAAGCAAATGGCAATGGTTGAAAACGAAAAAGTTGGGGTGAGGGGGTTCCAGCACAGTATGGTAATGTTAGTAAAAGGGAAGCAGATCCAGAAATGGAAGAAGATGATGCATAAAAAAGCAAGAGACAATAACATATTACCGCAAGTACAGAGCAAATGCGAGAGAGAAAGATGCACACACACACCGCAGGAACAAAAACGAAAACAGAGAATGAGGAATAGAGGGAAGAAACGAGAGTTTAAATAGGAAAATAACGGTGAAAGGAAAACAGAATCGCGTTCGCTGAAAAAAGTGCTTTTGTTGAGTCGTGGTCAGTCATATCATATGTCGTAACTCGTTACAACGACAACGACAACGTAACAATTCAATTGTGTTGAAAGAAATAGAAAGAAAAAGTGGGGAATACTTTTAAGTTTTAAGCCGTCGCTTTCTGACTTGTACCATGTGGTCTTGTTACATATTGACACGTAGTTTTCTTCCGGTTTTATATAGTTATTTTTTATTTTTTTTGGATATAAATAAATTTTATATATTTCCAAAAAAAAAAAAAAAAAAATTATATAGTTTCAAAACCGTTTCAACTACCATCCTTGAAAAATGAAAACTGAAGAGCCTTTCCCATTTGTTCAACCGGTTAAAATCTTTTTTTTGTATATATATAAAACCGATTAAAATCTTAAACATTGAATGGTAACCTTTTTATAGTCACGATTTATTTGTTTCATCTCATTAAATTAAGTTAGATTATGATTAAAAATAATTAAAATTAAAATATAACCACTTCATTATCAGATTAATTTAATAAGACGCCAAGTTCCAGATTAATTTTTAATACATTACGTTTATTTTCAGCTTTTAATAATAAAATAAAAAGAAGTAAAAATAGCCAATAGAAGTATATTAATAGGAATAGGATATTATGCCTGTATTTATTCATGCATATTTTATATACTTTTTTTCATTATCGTTATATTTGAGATTTTGATTAACAATGGTAGAGAGAAATAAATAAAATAATCATAGGCATAATATCTTTATTATATATATATATAATATATATATATATATATATATATATATATGACAAAATAAAAATATATTTATCAAAATAATATATTTGAATATAATTTGACTAGTTTTTATCACCCTGGTCTCATAAACAAGAATCATAAAATGATAACACATGTCACATTTGTACGACTTATAAGGTCATAAGTAATTAAAATATATTATATAATAAATAATTTTCAAAATATATTATTTTAGTAACTTTTTTAAAACTATCTTAGTTTGAATATATATACATATATATTAAAAAAATATAATATAAAATTATGAAAATGCATCTGTTATGAGCTTAAGCTTTTAGTTAAGTCATCGAAAATGCATCTGTTATGAGCTTAAGCTTTTAGTTAAGTTATCATAATATTAGAGTCAAGGTGAATATGGAATTATGAATTCGATTTTTACCGTCCTCTATTTTCAGGAGAGTTAAGTTAGTACAAGAAAATTACCAAAAAAAAAAAAAAATTAGTACAAGATAGAATAAAAAAAATAAACATGTGCAATTTTCATTTTTCAAAATCAAATTCAAATGACTCTTGACTGAAGATCTATCACTTATAAATTTAAGTTTTAGAGTTAAAATAATTCTTTAAATTATATCAAACAGACGTTAGTAAGAACATATATACACACCCCGTATCGGAGTTATATAAAAAAGCAATCAATTCACACATATAAAAAATGGGAAAATCAAATCTTATGTTGTCGGAATGGATTTTTTTTCTCCAGCTCTTTCTTCGAAAATAGCGCCTCATGTTTTTTTGTTTTTTTTCTCACATGGGACTCCAAGCACGAATTACAATCATCATCATGCAACATAAGAATTTCATTGCCTTATAAAAATATACGACTTGAAGAATAGTCTTTTTTTAAACGAAGAGTAAATATCTTTTTTGGTCCTCAGCAAATTTTGTGATGCCCGCTTTAGTCCCTAACAAATAAAAAGACTATTTGTGGTCCCTAAAAAATTCAAAATGGACCCATTTAGTTGAAATTGTGATCCCTCACAAATTCAAAAAAGACCCACATTAGTCCCCAAAAGGACTAAAATGAGTCCACTTTGAATTTTTTAAGGACCAGCTTTTTTATTTGTTAAGGACTAAAGCGGACATCGTAAAATTTGTTAAGGACCGAAAAGAAAATGATATTTACTCTTAAATGAAAATTAACGATTCTGTTTAGTTGACTTTGTTCTGAGGGAATTCTAAGGTATGATGAAATGAATTCGTCTTTTTGTGGTCACTGGTGCCGTCTCGGTTGTTATTTTGTAGTATACTTAAGTGTTCTTCTTATAATCATGCATTTTTTTTATACACTTACTATATTCAAACCCCATAGATGAAACGGATACATTTCTACTAGATTGATCTTGTTCAGATCAGATTTCAGTACACAGAATTAAAAAAATGAAAACATTTTATAACAGATTCATGCATCATTTCTTTTGTAGATGCTAAATCACATCAATTTTATTTTTTTATTTTTTGGTGTGGAAATCACATCAAATTAATTTAGCTGTTACTTTGTTTTCACTTTTTGCTAGATTAGTCCAACATCTTATTAGCAGAAAAGTTGGGCAAAAAATCCGTACTAATGTTATTTTTTAAATGTATCTCCATCCTAAAACACATTTGAAAAGAATGGCCATACTAAAGCAGTCAAACACGTAGGTTTGACTGACGAGATAAGTCCCGCCAGTGAGAAAGACGAGATCAGAAGCCACGTAGGAAGCCCAACCAATCGCGTCAGTCCATGTCACGTGTTTTCCACGTATCCCGCCACCTGTTGTGACATGTACCAGTCCCGCCATGTCAGTTGGCGAGACTAAGCCATGTGTGTGACACATCCGCAGTTCTTGTGACGCGTTCCAGCCACCCCAAATACTAATAAAAAAGAGAATTACTATTAAATCATGCCAATTACATTAATTATATTGTCCTAAAGCATTTTTTGCAACATTGTAATGTTAATAAATTATTTTGTATTAAAATTCATTTACTAATAATTATTAAAAGAACCATTTCATTTTACTAATAATTATTAAAACAAATTTACTAATAATTATTAAAACAAATTTACTAATTAACATATGCATTTACTAAAAAAAACAAATTTATTAATATTTTGCCGACCAAACACGGTGGCATGAAAGTAACTGAAAACAAATAAAATGAAAGTTATAAATTTGTTTTTTTTAATTAGTAAATAGTGGCCCATTTGTTTGTGTAATTAATAAATAAAATAAATATTAATATTAATCAAATATAATAATTATAACAAACCTGCATATGTTAACTTAGTCATCATTAGTTTAATAATTAAATAATAATCATGTCATTAAAGCCTTTTTCAAATATTCTGCATTAATTAAGAAAAATAATTTTAGAATCCTTAGTAGGCATCAAAAAATTATCCCTAAGATAATTATTGAGGAATAATTATTAATCAATGTAATTTTGGCTTTTGGTAAACAGTGATTAATGTCATAATTATGTTGTAATTTTAATTAGTAACCTGATTAATAGTAATCATATTGAAATTTACAATGCTTTAAAAACCATGTTAGAAAACTAAGTTGTTAATATTGAAAATTATAAACATTAATCTGAAATAGTAATTTAGATTGAATATATTTATAATAATTACAATTATTAATTATTGAAATCGTAATAATTGTTTTAATAATTATATAATTGCAGATCTCATGTTAATGAATAAAACCTAAGAAAAAACATATTAAGTTGATTTAATAACTATTAAAAAGGTAAATAAATAGCCATTACCATTTATTGAATTAGTTAAATATTATTCATGCTATTAAATCTTTTATACAAAATAATTTATTAACATTACAATGTTGCAAAAAATGCTTTAGGACAATATAATTAATGTAATTGGCATGATTTAATAGTAATTCATTTTTTTATTAGTATTTGGGGTGGCTGGAACGCGTCACAAGAACTGCGGATGTGTCGCACACGTGGCTTAGTCTCGCCAACTGACATGGCGGGACTGGTACATGTCACAACAGGTGGCGGGATACGTGGAAAACACGTGACATGGACTGACGCGATTGGTTGGGCTTCCTACGTGGCTTCTGATCTCGTCTTTCTCACTGGCGGGACTTATCTCGTCAATCAAACTTACGTGTTTGACTGCTCTAGTATGGCCATTCTTTTCAAATGTGTTTTAGGATGAAGATACATTTGAAAAATAACATTAGTACGGATTTTTTGCCATAAAAGTTGTTCACGAATTGCAAACAGATAGAATATGGTACCAAATGATTGGTTTGCTTCATTAATAAGTTGCCTTTAAATAGGCTTAGAATAAATACAAGTGATTAGCAAAACTTGAAAAGAAACTAAACTAACTAATCGCCTAAAGCTGTACGTGAAAATAGGCTAACAGCATGCTAACAATATCAACAACTATGCTAACAAGCTATCAAATAGGAAACT